AAGGCAAAGCGTATTTCTTTCACTGTTTTCTTTTTAAAGATAAAATCATATTCGTTCATGTACATCTTCAACATCATATTATGTTTCACTTACATGCATCAAATCATCACAGATAAGTTAAGCATATCTTACAAAGAATTATGTGTCAGGCGAAGTTAAATCAATATAGTATATATAGAATAATGGCATTTTTGTTTTTGATACCGACTTTATCTGCAAGAATATCAAGCAAGCCCACTATAATTTCCATTATACGACGATTCTAGAAAAGATTTATTTGATGAAGCAAAGCATTTTAAATTTGATTTTAAGTCTTTTAAGGATTAATATTAATTAGTTCTTTTAATTACTGATATTAATATGATACGTTGCAGATTCCAAATCATGTTATCTTATCTTAAATTAACGTAGAAATATTTTATACAATATATATATACTAATTTTTTTTTGCAATGACCTTATGTTACAGTCTCTTATTATCCTCCAAAGAATAAATGTTATCTATCTAATATCATCATTGGACACTTTATGTAATGTTGTTTTGTTTACTATTGAGAGGTGAGATCTAAATGATGTATTGAACTGAATTGAATATATCATAACTGGGGACATTTCTAACTTATTCTTCCGATTTGTCACACTGACTTCCAAAATACTTATTGTTTTTTTATTTATCCATTGGATGAATTATCAAAACATCTAATAAACACACCATTTGACAAAAATATTCCTAACACGCATTTATTACAAATATGTTTTTGACGTCTCCTTCATTGTCATTTATCAGTATATATAGAATAATGGCATTTTTGTTTTTGATACCGACTTTATCTGCAAGAATATCAAACAAGCCCACTATAATTTCCATTATGCGACGATTTTCAACAAGATTTATTTGATGAAGCAAAGCATTTTAAATTTGATTTTAAGTCTTTTAATGATTAATATTAATTAGTTCTTTTAATTACTGATATTAATATGATACGTTGCAGATTCCAAATCATGTTATCTTATCTTAAATTAACGTAGAAATATTTTATACAATATATATATACTAAATATTTTTTGCAATGACCTTATGTTACAGTCTCTTATTATCCTTCAAAGAATAAATGTTATCTATCTAATATCATCATTGTACACTTTATGTAATGTTGTTCTGTTTACTATTGAGATTTAAATGATGTATTGAACTGAATTGAATATATCATAACTGGGGACATTTCTAACTTATTCTTCCGATTTGTCACACTGACTTCCAAAATACTTATTGTTTTTTTATTTATCCATTGGATGAATTATAAAAACATCTAATAAACACACCCTTTGACAAAAATATTCCTAACACGCATTTATTACAAATATGTTTTTGACGTCTCCTTCATTGTCATTTATCAACTTATTCTGTCTTATTTTTCAATTAGTTTAATTTCAAGTTGTAACTTTTCATGTTAGGAGAACATTTCTTTCGTTTATGGAATAGTTTTATGTAAATTATAGGTACCAGACCTTTGAATCTCATGGGTATTTATAAATACTGAAATATAATAAGTTCAAAGTCAAAAATGATATTTTATGTTGCCATATTTCATTAGTCTTTTACTTCGACTGGACCGGTACCTCTGTTGTTGGACCATCAATCCCCGAAGGTACCATTCACTCAGCAGGCTCGGTAGGTACTGACATAATTTAAACGATACATTGTGTTTATATACATTGTATATAGTCAAACCTGCTATAAAAGTCACCTCTATTTAGCAAAAAACTGCCTTGCCAGGTCACCCTCTTCTCTTCCCACTGTAGTAATACCTATGCATTTGAACCTCATTCCAAGTGTGAGCTTTATATACAGGTTTGACTGTAAGTAATATGATATAAAAAAAATGTAATTAAAATGTACAATTATATATTGGAGACAATAGGTCGCCTCTCCCTTTTTTTTTTATAAAATTGTAATAAACTATTTATATAAGTATAAACGTCCGACCTTTGTTATATTTATATTCATTTGATGGTTACAGGAAATATCAATTAAAGTAGAGATCCGGGGAAATATATAAAAGCCATGCTTGAACCATAATTGCTTGTTCCTATTCAACGTCCTGTTTCACTTTTAAGACATATAAAATGATATGGTTTCCCATCGCACAGCACGGAACTAAAATTTTTGAAGTCCAAATTTATAAATCATGTTAGAGTGTAAAAAATCCGTTCAACCTTAGTTTTAACACAGTAAAATAATTTTGAGAAATAGATATATATATATAAACGTTTGTCGTGGTAACTTTAATCAAAATATTTCCCCCTGAAACCAGTGACCAATTTCAAAATTAAATATTTATGTTTTTAAGTTCTTGCCAACAAACCAACATTACCGACTTGGCCAAAATAGAACATCAGGTTTAAATGTCTAATATTGTTTTGCAATATTTGTCAACTTTTATGAAAGCTATAACAGTTAGACAGGAACTGTAAACAATGAATATTATCAGCAATACAGGAGTTGAAAAATTGTCGAATTACAGAAACCATCTATTAATTACTTGATAGACTAATAACCCTACATACACAGTTTTTGACATTTTGACTTAAAGACCACAAGAACTGAAAACGGGAAAATATGTCAACAGAACAAGATCTACAAATATTCCATTATGGGTTTACTATCACATGTCTCTTTTTAAAAAACATTTCTTTTGAGGGACATTTCTAAGTTCTTGTTTATTTTCTTGAAAACTATGATAACTAGACAGGATTGTAAACATAATATCAAAATAAGAAGATGTGGTATGATTGCCAATGTGAGAAAACTCTCCACCAGAGACCAAATGACATAGAAAATAACAACTATAAGTCACCGTACGGCTTTCCAACAATGAGTAAAACACATACCGCATAGTCAGCTATAAAAGGCACGAAATGACAAATGTAAAACAATTCAAACGAGAAAATTTTAAAAAGGCCTGATTTATGTAAAAATCAATGAACCAAATACAAATACGATATAAAGCAACAAACGAAAACCACCGAATTACAGGCTCCTGGCTTGGGACAGGCACATACAGAATGTGTCGGGGTTAAACATGTTAGCGGTGACCTAACCCTCACCCTAACCTGGGACAGTGGCGTAATAGCACAACATGAGAACAAACTATAAAATCAGTTGAAAAAGGCCTAACTCATCAGATCCATACAAATGCAGAAAAACAAGTAACAAAAATACATACCGGACGTAGCAGGTAATCTATGAATCACAACAACAACAAAAAAGACACTTAGTACAGATCTGAAAGTACTTGCAGTTACTGACAGCTAGTTCAAAGCCAATAACAACTAATAAAACAATTCTGTATCTTAGACTAAAATAGCAATCAGTACACATCCAATGGATTTTAGTGTTAAGACGTCATTGACAGTAAGAGAAAAACACGACTTTGTGCAATGCCAAAATACTGGTATCGACAGATTGTAGAACTATGAATGTGCATATGTATCTGTATATAACAATAATATTAGTTTGGTTTTAATTTCCTGATAACAAAATCAATATTTATACAAATAAAACAATATTCAAAGATCTAGTGAGAGTGTTGAATTAGCAACCTTTTAAAATAAGTTTACTTAAAGGATCGATAAGTTTACCCAGATCGTATCTAAATTTACGGGCTTGGTAAACAACAGCTCCGTAAAAAATAGGATGTGCTATCCTATCCCGTTTAAATTAAGTTCTCTACACTGTTTAGCCAAACTTCCAAACTAGATATTTGTATCTATGTGAAAATTTAGTAAAAGTTTTAAGTAATTTTTGGTAACGGAATCCATGACTTAATAATTTACCAGTAATACATAGAATACGTTCATTATTTTCAAAATTTTATAACAGCAAATTTGTTATCTTTGATTATATTCGCTCTTTTGAGAAAACCTGTCGGAATTTTGAATCCTCAATTCTCTTCAAATTCGTACTTTATTTGGCCTTTTTAGCTTTATTGATTCGAGCGTCACTGATGAGTCTTTTGTAGACAAAACGAGCGTCTGGCCTCCAATATTTTAATCCTGGTATCTTTAATGACTTTATTGAAGGTTTAAAATGAATAACAGCAATGCAGTAAAAGTTGTTTGGAGATTAGTGAATTAAACATCATAAGGTATCAACAGTGTATTTATTCTAAAAAATATATATATGAGTTCCTACGAGCCTGAATATGACTCCTCTTGCAAAAATAAGCCATTTAAGATTAGTTTCCACTTTTCTCTTATGAAGCAAAAAGATTGAATACTTCATGAATACAAAAACCATATTTACTGTGTAACTGGTAAAATCAAAATGTTAAAATCCGTAAAATCGATACGATAATACGAAACCAAGACAACCTTGAAGAAAACAAAAACTGGTAAACAAATCATCACAAAGACGTGCGTTTATAATATATAAAAGGCAGATACCGATTTAAGTGCATACAATCCGTGTTTTTTTTTGTTTGAGACCACTGCAATAAAGTGTGAGAACCAAACTTTAAAATTTTTCAGTAGCACATATACTTAATTACAACAACCGGAAAATTAACTCCAGGCAATGTGAATATCCTAAGGAGGATTTATTTATAAATCTTGGATGTGCACATCATTTGATACGCATGTATGTTTTGTATTTGCCTAGTAAGTCAAAGTTTAAGCTTCATCGATGAATTTACATAGAAAACGCTCTTTTGTCGCACAATATTTAAGCGGAGTATAGCAAAGTAGTTCATAAAAAAGGTGGACACGGATAGCAAAAGAAGAGTGATGAAAGATGGAAAAAAGATAACGAGGAATAAAAATTCCACGAATATGAGCCTCGATAAACGGAAGCGGGTGACACAAAGGGTAGAGAAAAAAGTCTTCACTCTTTAACAATAAACTTTGGTGGATAGTTGTCTCATTGGAAATCATACCATATTTATTTATTTTTGTTTGATATCCAAGTTACTTTGGTTTCACATTAACTAATTAACATATGATCATTTGTAAATTATGATTTAATACTGCTTCCAAACGCTGTAATAAAAACATTGAGAATTGTTACTGCAATTACACAAACTGTTGCTACTATATCAATTTTGTATATTTTCCAACAGCAACAGCTCGGTATATCTGCAAAACAGTTTGTACATACTGCAGATTTTGCACTGACGTTAGATGATGTTTGATTCACGGTTGATTGCGATTTAGTTTTGTTCTCATTTGCATGCTGTCGTTTGTTCTGAGCTTGTTTCTCTACTATAAGCAAAGCATAGAGCAAAAAAGCACTTATCAGGTGGAACGATATAGAGGCAATAAGGAGACCAACAAGGGCCATATAGTATTTATTATCCGTAGAATCTAAGACTGATCTCAGCTGAGATACGTTTGCCATCAGTAAGGCAACGTCATATAATCCTTTTGTAACGTCACGTCGAGATTGGAATTTGTTTGAAACACTGGTATTGGAACTACTCTCAGTTTCATCTTCCTGAAATCAGAGAAAAGATGACGTTCAGACACTTCTATTTAAAAAAAAATGATCTTTCGTCTAACTAAAGACGCAGGTTATTAAAATATTGAAATAACCTATTATCAGTACTCTTAATTCAACATCTATTTTATATTTTGGTTCAGGTTATTGATTTTTTCTCAATTGACCACATCATTTTCAAGTAATGTCCTTTTAACATATTGTTAAATAATTAATTGAGTATAACTTAACAATTATAAGGATATATACATTTTCTTAAAGGGGCATTAGCTACGAATTAGTAAAAAAAAAAAAACCGAAATTTTTGTTTTGTTTCAAACATTTATCAAAGCGGAATATAGTAATATCATTTTGCTATTAGCAGTCAGTTTGGTTCAATTCGTTAAATAAGCTAAAAAAAATCGCTAATGTATTATTGGCTTGCGAGTCAATAAATTCAACTCATTTGAATCCGTATTCATGTAACCTTTAATTTGACACGTGTTTGTCTGTTTATTTAAATTTATATTTATATTTATATTTATGCTTATATAGGGTAATATAATCGTCGGCAGTTTTCGGAGGTCATCTCGATAGACAATTAGATGGCGTCTAGTCTAAAATACGCACAATATGCTCTTACATTTTAACTAGTCCATGGACTCTTAATAGTTTTTTTTTACTATTGTAATTTGAATTTACGTTTTAGTATGTTATAAATTAAATATGAGAATTTGGGTCAAATTTGTGAACATGAATTAACAGCTAATCCCCCTTTACAAATAATCATATATAGCCGTACTATACAGCGTAGCAAGGAATACATAGCATTACAGTACTATTCCGATGCACTAATTCATCTTCATGTCTTTTGTGCGGTAATAAAATATCATGGATGTTACAACTTTTGGTAAATATCTGTAATTCAATTAATAAAATCATCCAGGTTTTTGCAATTTGGCAATATTTCTAGAATTTAAGATTTCCAACGACCTCTCTTTGTTATTGATGTTGAAATCCACCTTTTTCATATTCAAACGCCACTGTTGAATCTTATCTAAACTGAACATGCTTCTAGTACACTTGATTAACAGCCTGGTATCTTTTATGTTTTTTTCTCAAAAACAAAGTTTTTTTGTGTTAAGGTAGTTGGGATGTCTACATGATCGACGATAGATTTTTCTTAAACTTTTGTAAAAGACTTCTGGGTCAATGTTCTTTCAAATTTCAATATAAAAACAGGGGGTCACGGTCCTTGTTTTTTCGTTAAAATACAATGAAATTAACGAAATCGGGGTTATTTTATATTGGTTATATAGGGGAAACTTAATTTTTCCTTATTGAGGAAACATTAAACGATAGAATTGGCTAAAATTCAATGAGAGAATTGCTTTTTATTAATACTACTGAAATATCGAATAAAAATAGGGGGTCACGAGGTTATTTTCTTTAAAAATCCAAAAAGCACAAATTGTTCTATCAAATTCAGTATAATTATCTGCCCTTGATTTTAAAAGATTTTTTCTGACAATTTAAAAAACACTTTACGACATTTAAGTTTTTGAATATAATCTTTAAATTTCAAGTTTTAGATATTTTTGTTGTTTCATGAATGATACTTGGGTAAAATATTTTTAAACAAAAAGGTATTTTTGCAACATGACCAGAATGGATGCGCAGAAAAAGACACCTGATCCACCTTAAGTCCTTAGATTGGAAAATAATTTCTAAAGAATCGTTCTATTATGAAACACATAAATTTCATGTTTTTTATAACAAAGCAGCCCACAGGTGAATCTCTTCATATGACTGAATTTGTATTAAAAAAAGTTAATGAGATAACAATGAATAATAAAGCGTACGTTAAAGAGATATATCTTGTCATTTGGTCGTTGGAAACACATGGCATAAATAGTCCAGATTTAAAGTTATTGATATCATAAAAATGTTCCTTTTCAGAAACATTATAACTATCGATTGTTTCTCGTGCGTTTGATACATGTTTTGTGAGGGAAAAAATATTTCAATGCGGTTACACAATCCATCTAATACTATACAATTATAGCCTTTGTATGAGGTCGATACGAGGTTATATCGACCTAAGAGAAGCATATTGACTGAGGACGAAGTCCGAGGTCGATATGCTTCTCTGGGTCGATATAACATCGTATTGACCTCAACCAAAGGCTACAATTGTTATATTATTAATCAACAACTATTTCATGAACAATGTAAAATTGGGGATTTCTAGAATCTATTTTTAGTAACATGCTGTATGCTCTGTGCAATATGCTGTTTTTGACCTACGAAAAGCTAAACACAACAGTATTGGTGTGCAAACTGAGCAAATACAAATGTACATGTGATCAAGTTTTAACGAATCACAAATCCTTAAAAATATTCGGTTAATAATATAAACTAATATCCTGTAACAAACAATTCCATTACGGTCTGTAATAGGCATGTTGCTTAGGAGGTAGATGCTATACGCGTACAGTATACATAATTTAAACACGCATACGTTTTAAGGATCGATACTTACAATCAGAGTTCTTGGGCTTTCCTCTTCGTCTTTGCCTTCAGGGGGTGGTTTCTAAAATTCATAAGAGTATATCAAAAACAAAGCACTTTAATGCAGCAGAGTTCCGAAATATCGTCCCTTTCTTTATGTAATCTTAAGCCACTATATTTAACAATACATTGAAAATTCAAGAGATAAATGATTCTGAAGATTTTTTTTAAATTTCTGAACGATAGTTTAAACAAATTAAAATGAAAGAGTTTGATGTTTAAATTATTTTTTTTAGTGTCACCATTTGTGATTTTTTTTGGATAAACATGACAATAATAGCAATAAAATCCATATTACAATAGCTAATTGTATTAAATTGAATAGATATCGTATTGGTTTTCGCCGCTTTTCCATTTGAAAAAAAGAATTTTGGAAAACCTTGTAGTTTTTTCATCACAAACTTTACAGGTGTTATAAAATGTTTTGATCATATTACAAACCATCGAGGTTAATTTGAACACCATATGACTTTTCGGAAGTTAAAGAAGAAATATTTGAACATTTCAGCTAAATTTCGTTTTGATTTATTATTGTCCCTCATTTCAACATACGAGTATAAAATGCCAAAATGAGAAACCATTAATATTGCATAATAAGAAAATATAATATTACACCTATAACTCGGACATGCATGATATATTATACAGATTAATACATGGCCATTTTCGTATCGGTCCAGGTATCATCCCTTGGCCCCCTTTATCAGCCCGAGACGTTAGTCGAGGATGATACCCGGGCCGAAATGGAAACGGACATGTATTAATCTTTTTATCATTTACAACCGATGTAGAAACGCACTCAGGCTGATAACCCCATATCAGCCTAGGTGTGAATTTATGGCTTGTTTACTTCCGCTTGTTACACATATGCAAAACTGTCATAATAATGCTAAGTATATGATAAATATCGGTAAAATGAAGGCAGTTTACTTCACTTAATGTTTAATAAGACAAAAAAGACAAAGATGAGAATAAAATTAGTTGGAATCTCATGAATTACAAACGGACTAACAACTAGTACGTTAGGGTTACAATGTCTTGTTATGTATTCGTCACTTAATATACGATTCCAAAGTCATATTCAATATTAAGTACCAAAGCTAGAACCATATCGAAATAAGTAATAATATTAGCTGTATAACACAATGTACGTATGCGCGAACTATCTGGTACGCGTTGAATGAAAAGCTAAGATATTCTGCGACCAACCATGTATTAATATTGAATTTAAACTGAAAAGAAAACTCCTTAAATTTGCTATCTGTATTATACACTATTTATCAATGTGTTGTTTGTCTTTTTCTTGTGTACCTGATTATAGGCTTCTAATAGAAATCGGGAAGACATTTCAATCGCTTTGGTGTATCAATATTGATAATACTTAAACTTATTTAATGGTTCAAGTCTAAAGTATACATTTTTTCGATTGGGTGAAAAAATGCATTACTATAAATTGGTTGAATGAGTATAGTTAATAAAAGACAGAACTCACCATTTCAACTTTTGTAGAATTGTTATCAATTGACGACTGAAAAATTTAAAAAAGATCACATATTGTTAATATATCAAAAGGGGAAAAGTAAACACACAACTAATTGTAAAATATGGGACATACTTTTGACGGTCACGCTTTGTCTCACTACTACAGACTCTCACAAAGATATAAACGAGATGTGAACATTTGTTAGAATCTTGATTTTGTTTTCCTTTAGTTCTGTAACTAACACTAAGAGATAACATCACTCCATACATACAACTTAAGCAACGAGTTAATGCAATATTGTTGACCTCCATGGTCCACATCGCCCTTCAAGGTATATATACATACAAATAAACAAGTCTAAATTGAAAACAATGTTCAGACCTATGATTGCGTTGGATAAAAACCGCAATTTTTATACGAGATATGAGATATTAATTGTCGAAATCCGGATATGGTGTACTAATTTTTGCACCTTTTGTTTGCGGTATACCATCTTTTTCCGCAAGTTTATTGTTTTCTGTTTGATATCAAATTAATATTTAAGATCCAATTTATTACATCTGGTGATCATTTTATTTGGCAATCGGCAATGGCAGTCAGCAGGGTTTAAGAACATCCGTTGTTCGACCTGCTAGTCAAATGCGTTTTGTTAAAATATACTTTGTCACTTTTTTGGTCTTTTTGGAAAATGGTGTTTGTGCTGTATTTAGACCGCTATACATACATATATATATATAGATATATATGTACTCGTAATTCGATGCTTGCAAAGATGCATCATGTAGCGTGTTATTGCTTTCATATCATATAAGCAAGTATATATTGTAATGTATTCCCATTGCCTTGTTGACACTAATCTTTAATGGAGTAAAGTTCATGCACAAAATTGTAATCGTCATAGAAAATTGTGAAAACTTGCAACTTAACAAGTATATTACTCAAATATAAATTCTTTCCCTGTCTTCATATATATGTCAAAACATTTTTTTTATATATTCATAAGAATTCAACTTTGAAGAGACTAAATTAAGTATGAAACTTACATTTCGGGAGTGTAATTCGCTTTGATAACCGCCATCATCTACTTGTTTCTGTAACAAAGGATTACATCAACTGATAAACAACAAATTTCAAAGTTTATCTAAAAATATTCAGATAACGGTTTGGTATGATTAAATAAATGTATACATCATTAATATTTTAAAAATTCGGCGCCCTCATACCTGGTTTAACAAAATGCCTACAACGATAAAATAGGTAAATGTTACGTTCTCTACAATATGATGATATTGGCATTTTTTTCTTCTTCTATACACAATCATTGTTTTACGTAAAACTACTGCTTCTGCTTTTCGTGTAAGTAATTATGATGAAGCTCATAGTAAACATTGATTAAAACATACAGATAATGTAAATATTTCTTACCAAAGGAATACTTTCATGTATAGAAGTAGCCATTCTATGCAACTAAATGTGAAAATTAAAGAACATGTGCAAGCTCATTTGCTTAAATACACTTCAATAATTTCCCTTTGTATTGTTTTTTCCAATTTTCCATTCATAAAAATTCTACTTGACCCAAATATGTACATCGATTTCCTGAATACTTGGAAAAAAGAGTGGATGGGTTAATTTTTGTTTTATCGAAAATCAAATAAATGATTCTGAATTTTTTATTGAACTTTTGTTGCATTTATTTCAGTTCCAAGGAACAAACTTTAATTGAATAATTTCTTACCTTTTAACGTATCATTACTGCTATGACTTACAACCACTAACTGTCTATGGTTTTGTTCTAACTTTAAATTGGCAGTCCAATTGTATGCATAAACTATATTTTCACTTTGTGCCACTTGACTCAAGCTACCGAACAATTTTAGCGAAAATTAACAAGCAAACAACGAAGAGGTATAACTAAAAACCACAATTTCACATAAGAGGATCGCGTATTTTTTTAGCTAGCGAACAATTATGTATATGTATATATGTTAGTTTATTTTGGACCAATTTATAGAGATTGTGACGGATAACAACTATATAGGTGACGTAGAAAAGGCATTGGCGTATTCTTAAGGAAAACTCCAGAATGGTTTATGTTCGAAAATCTGATGTTAGGGTAAAAAACTGAAATTGACAAAACGAAAATAGGGAATTGGCGTACTTTAAAATGATTTCGGACGATTTAATAAAGATTGTAACGAGCAACGACTGTATAGGTGATGTAGAGGAGACACTGGCGTATCTATTAAGAAAAACTCTAGAATGGTTGATGTTCTAAAATCTGAAGTTAGGTTTAAATAACTGAAATTGCCGAAAACGAAAATAAGGGAGGGGGGTTGGGCGGTTGGCATACCTTAAGTTGATTTTTTGACCAATTTATTGAGATTATGACGGGCAACCACTGTATAGCTGATGATGGGGAGACATTGGTGTATTGTTTAGGAAAAACTCCAGAATGTTTATGTTTATATTTTCATGTTTGAAATTTTAATAAAAATCGTGTTTTTATAAACATATTTTACGAATTGCGTCAATCAATACATGAAAATCAAAGTTTTACACTAGTCATGATCTGCCGTCTTTACTTTTGCGTCGTATTTCTAGCCATTCTAAAGCTCGTGCATTCAGTAAGATTTTGTAAATCGATGTCGGCAGTTAAAATTGTTATATTTCATCAGTTATGTTGTAGTTGATATAAACCTTATAAAAATGCAGTACTGTAATATGTTTTCAGTTTTGGTGTTGATTTGTTGGAATTTAAAGTAATGAATCGGAGATTAAAAAAAAATAAAATTATTGAGTTAAAAGAACTAAAATAACTCGTGACATTTAAGAATAGTAGAAACGGAGGAGGATTAGTCAATCATATCATTTGGTTCCAATTTTTTTTTTGGGGGGGGGGGGAGGGGGAGGTGGAATCCTGGAGTTGACTGATAATATAATAAATAAAATAGTTCAAGAAGACTAAAGCTTGTTTTGTTTATATGTAAAGGATTTAATTTTCGATTCTTGTAAAATCAATTGTTAATGGATCTCGATCAAGAGCTCAAAACTAACGCACAATGCTGTCAATCATTACACATCAAATGTAATCATGAATGGATTTTCCCATGGTCGCTCAGTAAGGTCACCTGTGTTTACTGTTACGATATTTCCCGCCATATGAAAATCTCGTGCAGTGGACAAAATTGATCGCAGCTATTTTTAGCATTCAATATTGTGAGTGAAGTCAAGTTCAAGTTCAACCACACGCTGTTGATCACTGATATGTGTATCATGGAATTGTCTTTTCACGGAAAATATTTTTTTTAGATTGCTGTCAAAAATACAACATACAAGTTTACATGCATTGTGCGTAAATAAATATTATGAAATTAAGAGTCAATGCAGCACCATTAAATATTTAAATGGGAGTAATTACATTCATCAAACGATTTAATTGAATGCTTCTAGTTTTAATGTCCAGTCATGTCTGTGGCAATTATTTCATGCATATTTAACAAAAACAAACATATCAAAATAAATATAATGCCCGAGAAGAATCGTTATCTTCTTCTAGTGTTATTATTTGCGTTCTATTTTAGTTACATTATATCACCAACTTTCGGACAATATTTCTTTAAAGTAAAACGTAAATTCACAACTATAAAGAATCATCAAACTACTAGTATACAAGTATTGCTCACTGTAATTTAATTCCAGAACGGACCCAATACAGACTGAATATTAAATACAAATGTAGTGTGGTTAAATATAGAAATATTTTGTATATGACCGTCAAACTTAAATTTATGCAGCAGCACTTTGCACATCATTCTGTTAATCAATGGATGTACGTGGACAATAAATAAGTAAAACAAAAATAAACTTCCAGAAATAAAAAGAAAATATGTTTAAAAACTGTATGCCAACAAATACGAAAAAGATACAAAACAAAAAAAAACAAGGAACATAAAAAAAAAATTATTTTGAGGAACCAAGAATATAATCAGCAGTTGAAATATAAAATGCCATAATTAAAAAAATAGGCTATTTTTATTAAAACAAAGTTGACTCCACTACTTTATATTTTATGTCAAATACGATATAGAACTAATCAATAAAGTGCATGGTAGGTTTAAATCACAGTTTACCTGATTCTGAAATCAGTGAAGCGTAATTGTCTAGTAGCACGGATTAAGATGAAAGGACAATTAAATTACCATTCACACCTGGATCTGTTGATTATTGACCAAACTACCTCCCATAAAATTGTCGGATTATTCATTTCTGACATGTCCGAGTCCGTTATGTATAATAATAAGTCTCTACCTGTACTGTATGTACACATTTTGCCTCATAATTTAATATCAGTACTTCTTATAATGCCCTCAGTATATTCATTATATATAGTAAAAATAAAACTGGCCTACCAAAGGAGTAGTTTCATCGCTTGAAGTTGCCATTCCGTGCGATTGCGATGGGTAGTAAAACGGAAATATTTAAGGTCATATACAAAATTTTCTTATATATGCATTTATATACACTCCCTCTAAATTGTGTTTTCCAATTATCGATTCATTCAAATGCTCGTGACCAAAAAAGTTACGTTCATTACTGAATTCCTGATAAAATAAACTATGGTGTTAAATGCTTTCGTGTCGTTTTTTGTTGTTGAATAATGTTCGATTTCAATGAAAAAAGAATGTGCTGAATTGCTCTATAGTTTTTTTACTATAATCTCTTTGACTGATTGGAAAGCCAAAATAACAAACTAACAATGGTTTTGGTGTAATTGTAAATATTCTTCAATATGTACTTTACCAGTTAAGCATGATCGTTCGAAAAGAAGTTTCATATACTACTATTTAATTGCTAGTCTAGAAATTTAAACAAATTAGTATATATGCTATGCTTTCGAATGGTATACGGTAGAGCTATGTGTTACATTGGTGCGTTTAAAAGGAACTATATGCATGATATATCAAAACTTCCCAATTCTATTTTCAGGGGTTTATAAATTGAATAGGGTTTTCTGCCTATTTGGGGGTCAGTTGATTGTAAATACTTTTGATTTATTTAATTCATGTACCAAGTTTTTTATCAATATAGGTGGAAAAAATATCTCCTCTACATTCATATTCCAGTTGTAAATGGGGACTGCCCTGTCCATTCAAAATTGGTTTTAATGGTTAAAATACCTTCAACAAAACCAGTTTATATAGGCTATGTATTGGTAACACCTATTGAAACTTTCTGAATTAATTTTTAAAAAGTGTTCTCTGCATTATTAAGGTCTTTTTAAGTTATTTCTGCCAATAGCACCATGCTCCTTTCAAAATCTGACAGAAACACTAGTCAGTATTCTACATAATTATCAGGTTTATTATATAGGTTTCTTGGACACTTAAGTCATGTCAGTTATTTTGGTTCTGAATTTGTTGACAAACAAAAACAGGATTTTATTACCAAATACATTGTACCGGTAATCAGGAAAAATACAGTATTGTGGAAGATGAATTAAACTTCTTTCAAGTAGAAAATTTTGCATGCTTGTAAATTTAGTTGTCTGATAGAAAATGAAAATATGGAAAGGGCATAAATATGCATGAAAAACATGAAATTCAATTACAATTTTACAATGCACAGAAATTGTTTTAATTTTGGGTATATGACTGTGTGAAAGAAAAAAATCTGAATAAATGTGGTACAGCATGAAAACACATGGAATAAAACTGGCAAGCATGTTAAGTGAAATAGCCCCTTTATCAACCTTGTTGAAATGTCTTGGTAGCAAAATTGCTTGAATAGAACACTGCAACACAAACATTCATACATTTCCTAACTAATAGTATTTTACAGTTTTTTATGTGGATCTGATTTATTTGTTTGTTATCAAATATAAAATTCTTGGGTTCAGGATATATCTGAAGAATTTCATTTATTTTGTTTCCTGACATTTTATATTTGTGTGTTTTTGCAACAATTATTGATTCAACAAAATTGTGCCAGTGTAAAGTATTGGTCAAAGAAGAAATTTATTGAAATTGACATTAAATGTAGAATTACACTAAACAAGGGTGAAAGTAGGGGAATGTACCAGCAATCTCCAAAAAGAACCGTCTCTAATCATTACATGTATTTTCCATGCATGTCAAGTTTAAATTGAACTTCATTTCTCAGATACTAAGTGATCTACATTTTAAGCCTTTTCACACTGAAGTTAAATTTCACTTTAGTAATTGTTTTAAGTATCATACTGTAAATTCAGAAATTTTTTGCCAATGTTTTTATTATTGTGAATATTGCAACAATACAAACTCTCGTTTTAATTATAATGTCATAATTTGTATGCAGCATTTCCTGAAATTGCGATAATATAAATTTACATTAGAGTAGACTGTCCAACAATCACAATAATTAATGCTCACAATAATTTCTGATTTTACTGTATAAGGAAAGTCAATATAAGAATGAAGCAGCTTTAATTTGATAGATTACTGGTAAATCTGTTGTTATATTGTTGTCTCAATCAAACATGACAAATTGATTCTATATCATACATGTACATTGGCAATTGACTTTCTTAATAATTCTGTTA